GCAGGCTGTTGGTTGTCTTGTTTTATTCTAAACAGAGTAAGATCCCCTTGGGAAATCCCGGGCTCCCTCCCCTAACTCTTTTTTTTAATTATAAGAAGGTGAATGCATTATTTTTTATCTGATTATATCTTTAGAAACCAGGGTTCTTTCCCTCTGAGGCAGCGCCTTCACTGAGTGATAAGTTATGAACAGGCCTTGCTTCATCTCCTTCTGCCCAGAGTCAGGACTGTGATAACTGCAGTCTTAATGTAGAATGGCTTGTGCTATGGGCTATGAAGCACTGTTCACCACATGCGAATGTGTGCCCTACCCTGGGTTAAGAGGCAGGCCACAGGCTCCATCTACAATACAAGTGCCGAGACATGATAGGCAACTTCCCAGAAGGAAGAAAATCCCATTCAGCAGAACACTTCTCAGGGAGGCTTCTCCATGTGGTTAGAAGAAATGCTCTGACACACCCCTCATTCCCCATTCCCTGAAGACAATTCTAAAAGAAAAGTAGCTGGTTTCTAAATTGCTAAACTGTCCTCTAAGGAAGCCTGGTTTCCCGCAGAGTATTTTTCCTCCAGAGCAGGGATGCAAATCCAGGCTTAAAGCTGAAGTGCTAGGGAAGTTAGATGTGCTCAACTTCACTTCCCGAATAAATGTGGAACACGTGGCTTAAAGTGAGATCAAATTATTACTCAGGCCTCGGGAGTCTTCATTTGGTTTGACTGTGTCCACTCTACTGTCTCTATACCCTATGAAAAAGTGGCTTAAGAAAACAGACTCCTTGATCCAACGCTTTCTATTTATTAAACTAGATGCTGAGTGCCAGGACTGAATGCCCCCAGAGCAAAACAAAGCTATTTTTGTGAGCCAAATACGTCAGACCAGATTTTTGGATAGCATGCATTTAACAGCAAAGGACCTAGGATGTGATCCTAGGTGCACCAGAAATTCTGCTTCAGGTGTTCAAGTCTGCCTGGTGGAAAAGACGTAGATTTTGTGGAATGCATTCCACGAGATGAGCAGCCCTCAAGGTGGAGAATAACATTAGTCCTCAATAGTGCTATGTTTTACAAAAGGAATTAATTAAGCAGTAAACCGTGACAGGACATGCATCATGGTATCATAATCACAAGCCTCAGCTGCATTACAAGGCAAAAGGCCAAATACTGAGAGCTTTCAACCAGCCTGGGAATGCAATTAGGGTGAAATGCTGTGTGCCCTGGAGTGCCTTTATGCCAGGTTAAAAATTCATAGATATTACTCTCTCCCTCTAGAATACTAAAATAATCTACTTGGATGGAATTCTCCAGTAAGCCACCTCCCTTCACAATTCTTTCAAAGGTCAAAATAAAGGACAATGTTAAATTAAGAATGCCAACGACACCCCAAGGTAAGACCCTGCCCAAAGGCCTAGTATCCTTGTCTCATTCACTGGGCTTTCTTTGCAAAGGTGTCCCAACCCTGCCCAAACATCTGTCTCACCCTCCTGTGAGACTCACTATTTGGCCCTAACTTGGGCATTAGCAACTTTATTGGACAATTGGTCCATGGTGGTCCAGAGTTAGCATTTGGGAAGAAAGGAGAAGATGAGCTAGCTAAAAGCTTCACCATCAGCATTCAATCAATTTGCCTCAAGTAACTGGTAAATAACAGATAATACAATTTTCATTTCCACAAAAGGAAGCCAAAGAAGAAAAAAAAATCTTAGCAAAGTCCTTAGGGTAAGCTACTCAAATCCTGCTCCTCTACCCACACTAACTTAAAAGGAACTGCAAGAAATGCAACTTATCTACCATTAAGAAGCATAGGTCTGTGGATTTTTATTCAAATCTCAAACGCCAAAAGGGTTAAAAAGCTTATCAGACCAATCAGGAAACTTGGCAAGTTTGAGAATGTGTATTTCTAGATTTAAGCAAAAAACATACACAGAATATAAATGTGACCATCAGCCATTAAACGTTAAAAAAAAGAAAAACCCTACACACAGCTGGGGTAGATTAAGCACTGACTTCAAGTCATTTGAAAGTAGTAAAAAAAAAAAAAAATCAAACAGTGAAACAACCTACAAATATGGCCTTGAATTCAGAATGCACAGCATTCTCTTTAGGTGCCAAAGAAAAATTATTTTACCAAGAGCTACCATTAATGCAATAGAAGCATTCACTATAACTGGACAAAAACTAAAAAAAAAAATACCCCAAAATCCCTTATCTTCTCAAAACATCTACTTGTGCTAAATAGACGTTTCCCTACTTTATAAGTATTGCACAGTTGAGTTCATAATAATAGAATGTACGTTGTACAAGATAAGGGAAATGAAGAAAATATTTATTTTCCTTAGAATAGCATTGGCAAAGGTTACCTAATTGAATCACAAATGTTTACAACACTTGACTCAAATTCTTATCACTGTTTTCCCATGAAACCAGAAGCCTGGCCCCAAAGGTTTTTGCATTCCAACTATCCCCTCCCTCAGCCCACATTACAACATCAGCTGGCTAGGGGATCACTACATTCCAGCATCACCTAGAAAAGTGCTAGTTTTCACCTGGCACCAGGGGAGGGAGATAACCCCCACAGAGCTCCAAAGCAGGCTTCTGGGTGGCCTCAGAAATGGGAACTCTCCCCAAATACATCTATGGGTGGCATTAGCCCAATTCTGATAGTGTGAGGCTACTTGGCCTCCAGGTACTATCATGCTACGTAGGACAAAGTAGGCCTTGAGGTTTCTGGAAGAGGTTGTGATAAAAAGTATTTCTCACCTGCTGCAGAATGTGTCTTTCCCTCAGTGTCATTAACCTTCTGTGCAGCTCTACCAGTTCATCTAGGTATGCCTGAAAGAGAAGAGTACCCCCCCAAAGAAGAAGCACTTTAAGAGAGAAGTTCAAAAACAAATAAATACATAAGAATGAACAACAGTTGGTAGTTCCTCCTTCTACCAAGCTATCCCAGGCTGCACGGGCTCAGTGCCCAAAGGCCTCTGTAGACCTCATCTCTCTTGGATCAAACATTACCCTTATCAAGCCAGTTTTTAGGGTGTGGGGAGGGTGTGGCAGTTCTTCTAGTTACTTGCTCTGAACAAAATTCAAGTGAGTAGAGTCACCTTCCCCCAACAATGTCTCTTTGATGAATAGGGGGTTCAATGCTAAACTGTGAGTGTTATCACAAGCTACCTTCATGTTTTTATTCTTCGATCTCAAAAAGTTTTTGGACTAAGAGAAGAAAGGGCTAACTTTGAACATGGAAACATCAATGCACATTACTGATCACATCAGGGAAAATTCATAATAAAGAAAAAAAGAGGCTTCCTGGTCATACCACACCATACCATTGGCAAGTGAACAATGCCAGCAAGTGACAAGAACAGGAGAAAGCCTTATGAAAAACAGTGATCGCTATCTAAATTAACTTCTGGTTTACCAGGAGATGTTCTGAAAGGGCAGAAGGGCACCTCTCTTTCCATATGCTCAAACTCATGAGTCTCCGTTTGTGTAACTGAGTGGGTGTCCACAGTACCCTTTGCAATCAAGCCAAAGGCAAAATCTGTGAAGTATTTGAGAGGTCTGCCCTGACCCTGCAAAGCATTTTAGGGCTGTACCCATACCAAGTGGCTTAACTCCCACCAGGTCTTGTAGTCACATTTCAGATCCACGATGTACACTCTGGGAAAGCACACTAGGATCCTATATCTTGCTCCCCTACATCTGAGATCCCTTACCCACTACCTCCACTGCAATTGTCTTACCTCCCAATTCGATGTGACTGAAATCCCTTGGCAATGGAGCATCATGGCAAGTGATAGCATAAGGCCAAGCTTAAACTGAAGATACAAGCAACACATGGAAAATAAACTACAAAGTATGGGGATGAAGTGCTCATCCTCTGGACTCTTTGAGCAATTCCGAAGAAAATGAGAGGAGAACCAGCAAGGATGATCCAAAGGAAGAGAGAGATGGAAGAGTTGCCAGTGTCACAGCCTACCTAGTAACAGACAGGAAACCTACCTTGTCACATTCACCATTCTTTATTTGCTTATCTGATTTGCTCTGCTTTATTGGACTTTTCACTTCAAGAATCTAGGGATCAAGGAGAACATTGTGTTAAATTTTATTTCAAGCACCTCTTAGCTAACCAGCCACATAAAGGCACCCACTGAATGAAATGTTATACAATAACATCACTTCCGAAAATAGCATCTCTCCCCCCCTACATTTTCTTTCTTCTCTTCTAATCTTACTCTCTCTCGAAAAATAAATTACTTGTATCTGAACTGCTGAGTCAGAGCAGTAGAAAGTAAAAAAAAAAAAAAAAAAAAAAGTTGACGATAAGGAAACTGATCTAAGCTTCCAAGGCTGCTCCTCTTTTGCAAAGACACTCTCACCATATGTACAGCAGCTGAGTTATTCTGAAATGATAGTCCCCTCTGGCAAGAAGTTTTTCCTGTTCATTCTGCTGTTTCAGCATGACTACCAGTGCTCAGTATGCTGGTGATGATAAAAGCTCATACTCAAATGCCCTTTTTAGTACCCTACTTTCAGATTCCATCAGTTACTCATATCCACTGAGTTGATTCAGCTTTGGGAATGAAGACAGCCATGAGTTACATTGGTCGCTCCCAAGCTTGGATCTTCCCACTCAAGAAATCAAGTCACAGGACGATCTTCTATGCTTATCCACAGAGTTACAGATTAAGTTATGAATAGAAGTTCCGTATACTATTCCAAAGCTTTGGTGGGCAGCTGCATTTCTAATTAATAACAAGGAGAAATAAATTATTATTTAATGAATGCAGCTGGCATCTTTGACGGGGTCTTCAAAATTTAGAATTATGAGGAGAAAATTTTTAAACAGCCCTCACTTGAAAAAGCTGAGAACCACAAAATTTATTAATGATGAGTGTTTATAAATCTGTATAAATATAAAAAGCAAATTAATTTGTCTCTTTCATTACAGTTAACTAGCAAGTAGGCGGTTATAACTGGAAACTAATATTAATTGGAGACTAATACTGAAGGAGGAAAATGTCCAAGAAGGACTTACTTAAGTCTCATATTTCTACTATTCTTCTCTCTCCCTGTTCTCTGCCCTAAGTAAATCACAGTTCTGTTCAAGGATCTACCATATGCTGTAACATAAAGATTTTAAGAATGAGTCCACTTTTAATTGTAGTGGTAAGAGCACTAATTAGGTTAGAAGCCTGAGTTCAGGTACGTGATTTCATATTGAGGCCTCCGTAGATAAAGCAAGAGAAAAAAACAAAATAATACCCAGATCCCCATTTGGCTTTAAATTTTTATGCCAGTAATAAGCATTTCACTTGTTGAGGATACATTCTGGAAAAAAACCCCAAACAATCCTAAATTTTTCTATATTCTTCTTTGAATAATGCGTGGGTAAGATGTGTCCTTCTAACCGTCTTTCCTGAGAATCGTGCTTATTTCTTCATTTTTAACATTAAGATAACCACATGGCCAATTTGACCAGGCTAACTTAAAATACAATACTTTTGGCAACACAAAGAGATTACTTAATAGCAGAGACAAGGCAATCATTTTTAAACACCCACTGTAAAGGAAACCAAACACTCTACTACATTCAGAATTTCCTCCTCTCTATTGTTGTTGGAAATGAGACCTCAAGGGGAAAATCAGCACTCTGAGACCTAGAAGTAAGTAGGTCAGTAGATGGCACTCCTCGCCAACTCAGACACCGGGGCTGGGCAACAGACACGCCGCGGAGATTTCTGGCAAGCGGAGGGGAAAAAACAGTGCCTGTGCTTGCTGGCTTGCCTTGTGCCTGAGAGAACTGAATTCTGTTCCCATCGTATCCTGCCCCCTCCCACGGCCCCATCCCCCAACGAGCTACACTCTGGGGTGTCGCAGTGACCGAGGATGCTGTGTCTGCAGTGGAACCGTGCTAACTGGGTTTAGAGAGTTCTGCCACCTTCTCTTCAAAGCAGAAAATAGAACATTTGGGCGCTTAAGTACCACACATTCCATAAGTGCTACAGCACAGAAGGCCAAAATACACTGAAATCCTAGTTTCTTTCTTCTGAAGCTGCAGTGGCAGGAACAAAAGCTCGGGGTGTCAGTGACCCGCCTCAAGTTACTGAGTGGCTGCCCAGAGAGGGCTCAGTTAATCTTCCTTCTTTGATCTCTCCCTGCTCCAAAATAAACAGCTTTGTCAAAACCTCATTCTGAGAGCACTGAGCCCTACTGAAGACAATTGTTTTATTTATGATCATTTCTTATCTTTAGGAAAACGACTCCAGAATATAAAAGTACAACACCTTGTCTTCCACAGGCTTGTTTCAAACCAGTTTAACTGGATAGACTCTTTTTAATTTCATTCAACATGCCTTGCAGGCTAATAGGTGATTTATGATATTCTGAATAGTAACCCGGGTCCAATGGATCACTTCCTTCCTTCAAATCCCCTTTCCCCCCTCCCTGTAGTACTTCTGGCTAAAAAAGACCTAGTATTTTGTTTTTGTTTGAAATTCACATAAGGGAGGTTTGGAGTAAAAAAACCATCTCTGGTTAAAATGGTGCAAAACCCTCTATTATTTTCTATTAAGTTGTACTAAGGAAAACAGAGCCACCCCGTCTACCTAGACACACCATATATGGGTACGGTAGTCTCTGAAAATAGAAGAACTATGATAAGCAGCACTTCTGTCCTTAATCTGAGGACATGGCATGAGAATCAAACTTTCAAGATTTTATTTTTCTGTATCCCTTTGTGAGAAATGACAACTCAATTATTAGCAGATGGATTCTCTACTGGTGGGTCCTCTACTGATAGATCTTTCATGTTAATGAAATACTCGGGTTAATTACTTGCTTTGTTGATGTGTGGCTCTCTCTGTTCACTTTTTTTTCAGTAGTTAGAAAATGTTTGAGTCAATTAGCACTTTCCCTCTTCTTTAGTCCCCAGAAGATTTGAGAAAAGGCAACAGACTATTCAGCTTTGCTAGTACTTTACAGAAACTTGAGAGATCATTATCAATTTTCAAGTAGAGAACAGCCAAGGGGTAGGAAATAAGGAAACGAAAGTCTTCCCATTTTGGCATCAGGCCGGTCCAGTATGTTTTCATCTATTTTATTTGATGTGAAATTTTAAATTCATATTCTCTCTTTTTCCCACCAGCCTCCACTTCCTCCCTCTCTCCTTCTCTCTTACACATATACACACACATTCAAATATAAGTCTAAAAACATATTCTAGAGTGAAATGTAAGGGCTTTTTAAAATTTTTAATAAATGTTTACTATTTTACTCCATCAGCATGGAAAACAGAAATACTAGTCATGTTATTTAAGTCCCAGAACACAGTCTTAGAGAGACAGCATCACACCTGCCAGTGTAGGTGATTTGAGAGGGTAAGAAATCAGTACTCAAAAATTTTAAAAACCTTTTTTTTTCCTTCTCAGCTCTAAGACATAGCTCCAATGAGGCAAGCACTCCTGTGGTACATATATTTCCTACCACAGACTAGCTAAATGTGGAAGAGTATAGATGTCTCACTATGCTTATAGGTACATGGAGAAGGAGACATATGAGGGAACATTATTGGCAGGTCAAGAACTCACCTGCCTGGAGCTACATTTGTCTAACAGACGTTCCAAGGAAGCGCTTGATGTGCTGTTTAATCAGATAAAGTGATTTTTACCCTCCCCAGATAAATGATACTACTATTCAGTTTTGGTTTTGCTTTGCTAGACAGGTAAAAACCAGTCTGACAAAGCATCTTAAACCTCTCCCTAAAGCCAGCCAGGGTCAGCTCCAGACTGCCCATTCAGGAAGGGTTTCAGCGCAGCTCTCAGGTTTGAAGGGCAAGGTGTGGGCTTGCTGAAGCTGCATGTCCTCAGCAAGTCCAGGCTGAATGAGACTGATGAGGGGCACAAAAGCACACCCATCCCTCCCAGAACTACCACTGCTGCTGTTGCCCACGAAGGATCCTAACTCTGATACACCACACACCAGAGGCAGAAATTGAGCCTAAATAGGTTTAAATAGGATAAAAAAATACCATTAAGGTTCAGATTCTATTCTTTTGCCAGCATTTATGGAAGCACAAATTTACAAAAGAATTCCAGCCTATCTAGTTAGCCTCTCATCTCATGGCCTATGATGTTTATGTCCTTCCTCTCTTTACTTTCCCCTTGTGGTGGGGGGACTCATGCAGAGGTGAGGGTGGCTGGGCCACTGGCAGGTGGGCTGGCCCTGGGAGATGGGAGGAGCAGGGTCAGCCAGGAGCCAGGATAAGGATGAAGTGACCAGGTTGGGCTCCATTCCTATGTTGGACACAAAGAAACTGCAAATGAACTGTAACTGGTACAGTAAAGAGCACTGGCATCACTCCTGCTTGAAAATTAAGGATTTATTTAAGTTATACCTAAAACGTAAAATTTTTCATTTACACAGTTTAAGAGATCTGTGCTTATTCTTTACACCAAGTGTAAAAAGAAAATGTCTTCAGCTGTAAAATAACATTTTCCAAGTAAAAAACAAAGACCACAAATTCAAGGACAAGACCTTTTAAAATTGTAGGATGCCTGTGCTAAAAAGTTGCAACAAAAATATAGTTCTTTAATCTTCAAGTTAATGTCCATACAGTAACTTGAATCACGCAATTATTGTAGAGGTCACAGGAAATCTGTCTAAACAGAAAGATAAGAAAAACTCAAATGGAGCGGTGCCTATGGCTCAAGGAGTAGGGCACCGGCCCCAAATACTGGAGGTAGTGGGTTCAAACCCAGCCCCGGCCAAAAAGAAAAAGAAAAAAAAAAAAAACCTTAAATGTAATTAGAGTATCAATGCACAATGAGGCTTTTTATAATATTCATGACACTTGAAAACAGTTTACTTCAGTAGGCAATGAAAATATCCTAATCTTATTTATTTAATAGGAGCTCTTCCTCATAGCCTTCAAAATGCTACCTAGACTGTATACAAATAATTACATTTTGAATTGACTGTCAAAATAAGCTTTCCTTTAGCTCAATCTATAACAATGACAATGACCATTATTTTCTCTGCCTTTTATTAATTATTCTTTGCAATCTTAAGTGATGATACTTTTTTCTTAGACAAGAAAAGAGCGGCAAAGCACCTATAACGAGAAACATCTACTACCCACTGAGTGCCGAGCAGGAGTTGTGCACTGCCTAATGCTATTTACATGTACCATATTTCATCTTCCTGATAACCTGCCAGATAGGTGTCAGAATCACGAGTTAAAAGTTATTTCTCATCAACGTATTACCAGTGGTAAAGAATCGGGCTTTCTACCAGCCCCGAAGGTCATATTCTTTCTAGTTAAGTCACTCACCCACTGCGGAGGTGTAAAGTTATATAGAAATCAGGAGTATGGACAACACTTTTGTCACCATCCCCTCTTGCATCTACTTAATAAACTCTTCCAGTGGAACATACTCATCTTCTTGTGACAAGAGAAGCCCTCAGACCTGAACTATATGTTCATTCCTGAGGCTGTGGCTTCTCATGTACTTGGCATCAAGAAGGACTTTGTTTAAAATTAAGGGATAAAAAGTTTTGTGTGCTTTGTAAAACTGATTACAACAAGCTCTGCAGAGTCTTAAGAGATGCAAACCTGACAATTTACCTGGTTATTGTTGGTTTTTAATAAGGGCGGTGGAGGTTCGTGGTGTAGGGGCGAAGAAGCAGAACTGCTTTCACTGTCACTGCCGTCGCTTAAGCTGACTCTGAAAAGAAATAGAAAGAAGCCACACGCATCACTTCAGACAGACGATTCCTGAAACATCCATGGAGATAGATAGGCATGTAAAGTCAGGATTCCAAACATTAACCACTGAAAAGTTCATTTTAACTCCCAACTGCTACCATGTATTGGCCCTTACTTGGTTTCTGGAACTGTGTTAAGTGTTTTACCTGCCATTTCTGTCTTCATGATCTCTTACTTCACAGATGAGACTGGGTCACTTACTTATCTAGGGTCACAGAGGTAGAAGTAGTGGCTCCAGGATTCAAGCCCAAGCAACCCCCAGCTAGTGCTCGGCCACTATGCTTTACTGGTGTTATTCATTCATCTCCCTTCTCCAGCTGAACCTACCTACTGTCATCAAGCACCTTACTCAAGCTTACAGAAGGCCAGAAACATTAGTTTGTAGCTGACTACTCTTATTTCCCTTTTCCCTTGCCTCTTTGCTACAGATGAAAAAAGGTGTAAATATGGTTAGAATGCAGGCTGCAGAAGTGGAAGTGACTGATATGAGGAACGTGGCCAATAGCCTTGCACCACTGACAGCTGAGTGACATCTGAGGATGGGACACGTGACGTGGGCATGCTAGAACCACCACACATCCTTTCTACTGTGTCGAGATTCAAGGCTGTCTCTAGTTCTCAACATTGATAAACAATTTATTGGAAATATACTACAGAAACACAAAGAAATGTGTGAGATAACTGGTTTAGAAAAATACAACGATATCATTCAATAACTAAAGACAATAAAAATACCACCTCCTCCCCTTTTTTCTTTTAAGAAAAAAAAAATGAAACTTTCCTGCCAGAGCAGGAGATATTTCTTTATTCTACTCCGCTAAATGCATGCCCTCCATGTTCACTGCCTCTCTGTGGTTATACAGTAACCTAATGTAATGCATTTCACAGAAACAGAAAATGCTTTAGAAATCAGGATAGTTTTCCTTTCCCTCTGAATAGGCAATCACGTTTTAGCTCTCTGATATATTCAGATAGACAAGATGCAAGATAGGAAATGAAAGGGATACACTGGGAAATTCTTTTAGCAAAAACTGATGGAATTTGTTTTTCTTAACTAAATTACATTAATGAAGTGTTCAGTTGAAGCGCTGCTTTAAACTGCTTCTCGACTGAAGTGGAAGGCTGAGTATTTAAACTGATTAAACAGTTGAGACTTCACAAGTGCACTGAAGATCAAATGTTACATTGGCGCTGCCGTGCCAACAGCACATGTCAGGTGGAGAAAAAGAAAACCGTCTCCAACAATGTGTACCTACGTCAGCCAACTCACAAACCTCTGTGATCTGACCACACTGCCTCGGGGAGACAGGGCAATAAGTGGGTGGGCAGCGGCTAATCACAGAATGTCCAGATTTTCTAAATAATAACTTGGGGGATTATCTAAATAGCTTATGTATTTTTCATCAACTAAATTTGAGAGCTGGCAGTGGTCAGGATTTTGGTTGACGTAAATAAGTTACATACTCTCGGTTTCAGTCCACTGAGGTCTTTTTGCCTTACTGGTTTCCTCCTTGTCAGATGAAAGATTTCTAAAGAGAAATGTTACAAGGCCACTGCCATAAGGTTCCTTATTTCCTCCAATTTTATTATTATTTTTTTTCAGTTTTTTTGGCTGGGGCTGGGTTTGAACCCACCACCTCTGGCATATGGGGCCGGCGCCCTACTCCTTTGAGCCACAGGCACTGCCCTTTCCTCCAATGTTTTAAAAGGAATCCTGACAGGTGAGTTTAGGAGACAAGGAGGAGAAAGAGGTATTGAGTAGGGCCATATGAAAGAGTCACTAGGAGATGTGACAGGGCTCATACCCTAAGGAAGCCCTTCTCAAAGGATGCTAAGGAATTGCCAATTAGGAAGCAGATGGTCTGTCCAGTTCGGGTAAAGACTGCATTCTTTTTAGGAATTTTAGGGCCTTCTGTACAGTGACAGATAATGGGAAAACACTCAATGCAATATATAATATTATAAATGTAATTAGATTTTAAGTTCAAGTAGATTCATTTTTTCCTACTCCAAACAAATTAAAGTGAGCATGCCCATTTGTTTTCCTCATGATAAAGAAATAAAATCCTCAAGGCAATTTCAAGTTGACTATTAATTATAAGTGACATGAATTACCATCTTATAATGTGGAATTATGCCTCACAGCATTAAAGCTACTTAAGGAACCTAATTGTCAGCACACTTACAAGGAATTTATTTGCTGGAAAACACACACAGGTGATCCTAGTTTTAATTAGGTCACACACATAATTCACTAGAGCCACTTATGTATTTCTAACTACAAACAAGAATTTCTTCAAATTCTGAGACCATCTACAGCACCAGATCTACACAAACCATTCAAATGAAAACATTTTATTTCAACAGTCAGTCAGTCTGGCCACTTGGCATATGTACTCTGAAGAACAAGGACTTCTGCTATCACTTTTTCCTATAAAATTTTTAGAGGAAAAAACCTCTTTTTTCTGAGGAAAAGGAAAAATAGTTCCCTGTAAAGAGAAGTGAAAGCATGCTCGGGTGCCCCAGCTTCAAATGAATGTTGCCGTCTACTGCCCCTGTTTTGGTGTCTCGCACATTTGCTGTGGTTATAACTAGTAGATCTAGTGAAAAGATTTCATCCCATCTCAGGGCACCTCTTTCCTGCCAAGACACTCACCTGCGACTCCGACTGCCTCCTCTATTTACAGGTCTCTCCATTTCAGAGTCATTGTCATTATCCTCAGCCTCATCTGATTCCTCTTCATTGTCATCGGAATGCAGATCTTTCATTATAGACCTTAAAGGACCTAAGTCATGACAGTGAAGCACAGGCAATCAAGCACACTATTTCAAATACACTTAGCCAGATTAGACACAGGGGAATTCTTATAATAGTGAATAGTGAATAGTGGTGAAAATAATTCATCATCTATATTTATACAATTTACAAGACAAATTTCGTACAGTTTCCGGAAGGCAACCTCTGCTAAAACACTATTGTTTTCATAATAGATTCCCCAAAATGTTCATTAAAGATTCTCTATTTTCTAGGCAGTTTTTTCTGTGTATTTTTCTTCCCTAATAAAAATTATACCTAAAAAGAAAAAGAAACATCTATTAGTAAATTGAATGTTTTGTTACGTTAATCCATGTATTGAAAAGTTGAGATTAATAAATCACTGTGGTTGTAACTTGTTCTTGGCAACGCAGCCTTTGTGTGGTAGTTTTTGATCTATTAAGGTTTAGCTGTTCCTTTTATTTCAAGGTCAATTTCAGGTCAAGCAAGCATTTCAGTCAAGTACAGATTATAAAGTATTTCAGTTCCATGGTGTAATGTCCTATCTCTGATCTTCATATTGATCTTGGACACAAGGTCTTGTTGCAACAATTTTAAACAGCTAATTTCCATTTTACTTTTTAAGAAATGCCTGGCAAACTACCAGTATGTATTAACATAAATAAGACTATAATAAATCAAGTGCCCAGAAAATTCAAGACAGTGTCCAGTATTAGAAGGAAAAAGTCCAGCCATAACTAATTTTATTCTAGGACAGGACAGAGCTGCAAAAACACATATAAAAACTCATTAGTGTGGCTTATTTTCCCTGTACTGTGCTAAATGTGTTGAAAACCAAATGGATATTTTTAATCTTAGAAAGATTGTAAAGGCAATCAAGAGAGTGAGAAAGGCACTTTCATTCTGGATTAGGCAATTCCTAAAGTCTAATCTATCACTAACTCAATGCTAAAATAAGTGTTGACTCCCTGCAAGCTCTCATTCTGCAAAACTCAAATTTCTCTGCTTTTGTAGTAGGCTTATTTCTTTGGAAGCCAGTGGAACAAGACCTCTGAATAGGCAAAACAATTACTGTCCTTTATTTTATTTTTTTTCCTGGAAGCTTAGCCTTAGTCCAAACACACACAATTTAAATCCCTTTCAAAACATACAAGACGATCAGGAATTTAGTGCAGTCAATGAAAAAGGTGATGTTCAATATGCTAAAAAACCAAATTATTCTTTAATACTAACTCATTATTCATGTAAAAAAAGCCTATATTTGATTTTTCATGTACACAAAAATGGAAGTATTAATGTAATTAGTTACATTAATAATATAAGTGTTCTACTTGAAATTTCTTTATTCTGAGTTACAGTTAACACTTGATCATGAATAGAAGAAAAAACATTTAAAAGATAGCCAGTTAACATTCTATTAATCTGTAGAAAAGTAAACAAAATGAAAGATGTCCAGGATGAAGACTAAAAAACTTATTCCTCTATGTCAGAGCCTCTTAAGTCCAGCTTTTGCTATTGTATTTCCTTTGGGAACTCCCTGAAATGGGCTGTGTCTATAATCCCTTTGTAAAATGGGACTCTGATGTCAGGGATTGGAAAGGGGGAAATTTCTAGAGCCTAGCCTCACATATCAGAAAAATACTCAAGTGTATTCCTAAGGGAAATAAATACACCTGCATAAAAGCCAAGTTATCATTCAAATAATAAAACAGCAGAAGATAGGCCATAAATCAACTCATAAGATGTTTTATGAGAAAAATGTCTCAGAGTTCCCTGGGAGATGGTGATACCTTGTTGCCTGGTCTGGGATGGCGTGAAGCTGGAGCTGGAGCTGGAGCTGGAGCTGGCAGGACTGGGTTGTTCAGACTTTAAAGAAGAAAAGAAAAGTTATCATTAATAAATCTATGGGATACTACACTAAAATTGCAAACAGTGTTGTTGCTCAAAGCATCTTGCAAAGACTACGTATTTCATGAAGTCAAAATACTAACACAGGATACATATTGTCCTTTTTGTTCTGCCCACCTTATTTTTATTAGAAGTAGAAACAAGTATATAAACCAAGGGTGATGAGATAAGCACCTGAGTGATACATGAGCAAAGGAGCTGGCTTTGATTTCCTATGTTTACTGCTATTCAGATCTCCTCTTCCTAAGAGATACCTTGATTACTCTTTCTGCAATGTTTGATTGACTCAACTGGTTAAAACACAGCAATAATGAGGCCAAGGTCATTAGTTCAATCACATTATGAGCCAGTTAATTTCACTCTGGTCCAAGGCCATGACCCAACCCTAACCCCATTCATCCACAGTTCACAAGTGGAGGCCAATGTCCCAGCCAAGTCTCACAAATGAGTCAGGGGGAAGTGTTGCCATTTTTAAAAAATCCCTTTAATTCCACACCCTATCAATGGCAGGAAAAGAGTGTCATACACACACCTCAATCTCTTGCTGTCAGAGAATTCTCTTCATTCTGTAATACCCAGAACAAGTTCTACATCCTCTTCGACACACCCAGCTTAGATCTTCCTTCTCTAAATCTACTCACAAGGTCCTGGATAAATCACCTGTTGCTTATCAAGGATGCTGCAGTATCGAGTCCCTCCTCCTCCACACAGAAGATAGCCGCCAGCACAGGAAAAAGCAGGCGCCTGCCTTATACTTCGTTATCTGCTCATACTTAGCACAATACACTGCATACAGCAGGCACGCTGTATCTGTGACTAACAGCACATTCGACTCTTTGTTCCACCATCTACCAGTTTTTATAAGAGACTTCACAGCAGATAAAGGTATAGGCACAGTAGACAGGTTGACAGAAGTATGCAAAGAAATGATCATATAACCAATAGTTGAATTTTACATATTTAAGGCCAAATTTATTTTAAAATAAGTTAACAATGCTAATAGATCGGGTTGTGAGAATGGACTACTGTCCCATCTCAAATGTGTCTACAGTTTCAACTGCATATTCATGTTATTTGACAAATATGTAAGGTGAGGTCTTGCCATGTATAGGACACATCTTTTTACTTCATTCAATGGTTAACCCAGTTGGAGGACAAAAATATAACCAGAAACTGCTAAATGAGGATGAGAACCTTAGTTCAGTTTTATTTTTTATCTCCCCCACCCCAGCACTGAACTCCCACCCCCTTCTCCCTAAGTAGCACCAAACTCCGCCAACCTCAACACAAGGAAACACTTTCAGGCATTCCTAATGGACACTTCACATCCTCAGGCTGGATGGGAAAACAGGTGTCAACAATCTACCACTCACTCTGCAGGAAGAGAGCCAGACGGGGTCTCTAATGAGCAGCAGGTGGCCCACCAACCCTCTACCGCTGCAAGATTTACTTGAGAATGGCAGCGCCATGTCTTGCACATCACTGTTTGTGGTCCACGAAGAAGAGGTGCTTTCTAAGAGCCAATGCCTGTGTGAGGTGCTCTCCATTTCTGTCCAGTGGCTTCCACTGCTAAGCCCCAATGGTGACTTACATAACTAAAAGGCTTTCCAGTTAGTATTTACGTGGAATACCCATCTGTAAAACATTCCTCCCAGGGCTTGCAGGGTTTTCCTCTCCAAGTTGCTCTTTTCAGTCATGAAAAATGCCTGCAAATGGTATTATTTTGATAGCTCTGGAAACCATTTGGAAGCCAAAAATGAGGTTTCCTTACAGTAAGCAGATAAAGCTCTTGATTCCCCATCCCGCCCGAGCTGCACACATCATGCTGGACTTAAAGAAGACATTCTGCCAGAGCTATCTGCTGAGGGTGACATTAACTAGGATGACACGAGAGGACAGTGGCCAACTCTCCAACTACTTCACAGTGAACTTGACCTAACTCTCTCAGGCATCATGCTCATTCTCTTACAGAATCAAATCTGGGGGCGGCCTTCTTTTAGTTTTTTACCTAAAACAAAGTTAAGAATTCCACAGTTGCTAATCATCAGAAAACGGACAAACAGTAAAGAATATAATACGAGAGGAAAGGCCTTTTGTTCAGTATTTAATGACTAATGACCTGCCTCTACCACAAAGTATTTGAGATATAGTAGAAGACACAATAATTCTGTAAGGATGTTAAATGGAAAGCTCAAAGCAAAAGAGCTGGGCAAAGAAGGATAAAGTGTAAGGGTGGGCAGCAAAGCAATGTTTTGGATGCTTCTGACAGTC